GGCACTTCTAACACTTGCCAACGAATTCACTCCTGAATTGACAGAACCAGGGTTAGCAAAAAGTATTCCGGGCTCAGCTGACATTCGAGAAGGCCAAGATGGATGCTAATGATCCATCTGCAGCATTTTTCGGATCGACTTCTCCATATGTTGAAGGTGTTCATAATTAAAATGGAAAGAAGCATAGCTCTGAATCCATTGTGTCCATCACCTGTCTCAGTCATGAACACATTTATCTGGCAAAGCATCTAGCCATCCTTTTACATGTCAGCTTCACCCTTTCAAGATGAGCTGCACATATGACAACGTACCCTTTAATATGTTAGCGTGCATTACTTAGGCATATTCTTCTCTGTACTCACAATGCCTGTTATACCTAAGAGAGTTCAGAAATAGCCCTCATCAGCCCTGGTGGTGCTTTGGGTTAGGCGTTGAACTGCTAACTGCAAGTGTGGTAGTTCAAACCCAGCAGCTGCTCCCTGGGAGAAAGCTGAAGTGGCCTGCTCTCATAGCACATATACATCATCTCAGAAACCCCCGGTCGGGTACCTCTGAGTTGGAATCGACTCGTTATCAGTGGGTTTTAAGCATCTTATGAAATTCCCAACTCAGACACGTTGCCCTCTAATTGGTTGGGGAGTTTTCTTGGCTATCGTCTTTACAGAGGCAGGTCATCAGGGCTTCCCTACACAGTGTTGCTTACTAAGGCGGAAGTGCCAACCTTTAGATATGTAGGCAAGAGCAAACCATTTGTGCCACCCCCACGGGTCTTTCTTATCTCATAGCCAATCCTTGCTCCTGTTTTCTTGGTTGTCTCCCTAATATCTTTCTTGGCAGTTATTTGAACAGTGGTTAAATTAAGATTTGCCAATGGCAGTTAGCTGCTACACATTTCTAGATCCTTTCCACTGCCCCTTGTATTAGTAAGCTCATCTGTAAATAATGGTACTAACTTTTACTACAGTGAGAAAAATTCTCTCGCCATAATAAAAAAAATGATCAAGCTACTAGATACTCATTTATTACTGTGTGTCAGGACTTTTAGGAAGGGCTGTCGAGATTTTACTTGAATAGAAGTTTTCAAACATCCCATTATAATGTTTTGCTATTGACCTTCCTAGAGTGAGGTGTATTAAGACATTTTTATTTTGCGTAATCGCTGTATAGTTTATAAAGGAGCCCCGGTGATACAGTGATTATGTGCCAGGATGCAAACTGAAATACGGCAGTGCAAGGCTCTGGGAGAAGGCTGTGGGGGAGAGGGCTTCCTTGGAGAGCGATGAGGTAGTTCTACTGTCTTCTCGGGTCCCTGTGAGTCAGAATCAACTCAACAGCCCTGGGGGGTTGGTTGGTTTGGGGTCATGTCGTTTACAAACCGCTGAACAACCCCATGACCGCATGGGGTTGGTTCTGTCTCACAGCGCCCCCCGAGGACAGAGCAGAACCGCCCCGTGTGTTTCCCAGACTGTTCCTCTCCCGAGTAGACAACCTCCTCTTTCTCGCCACACAAATCTGTGGTTCCTAAGATTTACTTCATTTCTGCGTTTCGCTTAGAAGCGTTTTATTTGCATCCCGGCCACGTAGCTTTGATCCCTCATTGAACCACTTTGTGTCCCTTGATCCAGTCAGTAAGACGACACAGGTGCCCGCAGGCCAGATCGAGGCTTAGTAATTCGGGAGCGTTAAGGAATCTTCTCAAGTGTCTGCTTGCTGTCCCAGCTCTAATTTAACAGTTTTTTTTTAAGTACTTGAATGCCCATGGCTTTGTGTTTCCTAGAATTCGCCCAATGTAAAACTCTTAGGGAGTAAGCTGACTGCGAGCTTCCTGACTGATGTGTTTTTGATTGGTCAAGATAGATTTAGTTTTTCTCCTTGTTCCTTTCATGCTCCCAAACAACTGTCGAAATTAGCATGCCAGGGGTATTCTAACAATTACCTTCTGCTCTATTAAACGGTCTTACGTTCAGTGTGAAATAGAGGGTAGGACTTTATGGCATACTATTGAAACCTTCATTGTTGTTACACGTGACCGGTGCCCAGGAGTTCATGGTAGAAAAAACGGTAACATTAACATTCTAATTTTTTGGTTTTTTTTTTAATTAATGTTTTTTCTTATGGTCAGCTGGGCAAGTATGACTGATGGCAGTTTGGGGCATTTCTAAGCAGCTGACGTTTGTTTGGGAAATGTCTTGCAGGCCCTGGAAGACTCGAGCAGTCTGCAGAGGAGCGGCAGGGACAGCGGGTACAGTGATAGTTGGTGCCCGGAACGTGGAGAGCTCCCCGCGCCGGCGGGCAGCCACCAGCGAGAGGGCTCCTTTGAGAGCTTGGACTCCTTTGGGTCAAGGTCTTTCACAAGCTGCTCATCCGACAGCACCTTGAAAGGGGGCCGGGAAGGTGAGTTGTTGGTGACCGCCTGCCCGTTGCTCTATGTTCAGTGTATGAAGGGGGACGTGGGGATGGGAGAAAGTGGAACAGTGGAGAGAATATTATCTTGGCAAGTGGGCTTCCAAGAGATTCAGGTATACCTTAGAGGTTTCTTCTTGGCTAATCACTTCCGCTCTTAGTGATAGTTTCAGCTTTCATTTTTATTTCTTGTCGTTGACATCGTCTTGTTTTCTCCTTTCCATTTTTTGGGAGAAGACAGGAAGAGGAGAAAGTTAACATGGTCCTGTTTTATCAGTGGAAATCTACCTTGTATTCTCTTGACAGACTTGGGCCTATTTATTTGTGCCTGTATGGCCTATGAGCAGGATCCCGGGTGGCAGAGTGATTATGCGTTGCGCTGCTAACTGCAAGGTCAGCAGTTCGAAACCACCAGCCACTTTGTGGGAGAAAGACAAGGTTTTCTACTGCCTTAAAGAGTCACAGTCTCGGAAACTCCCCAGGGCAGTGCTCCCTGCCCTTCGGGGTTGCTATGAATCGGAACGGACTTAAGGGCAGTGCCTTTTTTGGCTCATAAGTGGACATGACTTAAAACAAAAACAAAAATGATGCAGATAAACTTAAAGGTGGCTCCGTGGTCCAGTGGTCAAGCAGTCAGCTGGAAGCCAGGGTCAGTGGTTCGAATCCAGTAGCTCAGTAGGAAAAAGAGATGGCTGGCTGATTCTGTAAAGCTCTACAGCCCTGGAGACTGTATGGAACAAGTCTACTCCATCCGATAGTAGGGTCATGAAGAGCCAACGGACCCAACGCCGACAAGCTTTGGATAGCATTAAAACACAGATGTGCTCTCTCCCTGAGTCTTGTCTTTTCTTCTCTTACTTTCCTCCCAAAGATAAGAAAAATGTTCTCCAGCAAAACCAGGAAAAGCGTTGATTTATGTGATTACCTGTCCACCCAAGCAAAGGAAAGTTGTAGAACCCCCCCCCCCCCATAGCCTATTGTGCTCACCTTTGATAGACTGAGTATGGTGCTGCTGTGGGGAGAGGACACACCTGGTGCTGCTCCTGTTCGAGTCCGAGCGAACCCAGGACAGACTGCGTGCAGAAACGGCATCTTGATGAGAGCCATGCTGGTGTGGGGGGAAGCCTTCTTTCAAAATCTCAAGGTTCTAGTCAAATCAGTAATTTCTATGCAAACCGTATTCTTACGGTTTATTAGGTTACAGGAGCAGCTTCTGATGGCAAGTCTCTGGTCACATTTGACTAGATTGACACTCTAGGTGCAGTATTGGAAGTAGTTTTGCATTTCCCCCATCATCTACATCTAAAAACAAAAATGAAAGTTTGGGTGGCATATCTGCCACAGTAGGTTTTGTGTTTCATTTGGCTTGTCAAGTTTGAATATTAGTTTTTATTTTTTTCTGACGTAAATGTTTAAACATCAGCAAAGTTGAAATCATTTTGCAGTGGACATCCATATATTCAGCAAGCAGATTCTGCCATTTCATTTTGCTACCTTTGCTTCGTTCTACATCTCTTTCTGTCTCTTGTTGTGCCTTCATTTCGTCTGTATACTGAGGCAGTTCAGAATAAATTACATTTATTCTGACAGTGTCATTTGTCCTCATTACTGCAGCGTACATATCATTAATTTAAATCCAAATTTTGTTTTATCTATGTACAATCTACATGCTGTGCAACATTCAGTGAATTTGCTTTCCAAAAACAAAATTAACCAATTTATCAAGCCTTGTACCAATAATAAAGTGCTTTAGTTTAGAAAATAATATAGTTGTTAACTACCACCAACCCTGGAGTTGCTTTCGACTCATAGAGACCCTGTTAGAACAAAACCACCCAATCCTGCGCCATCTCAGAAATGTTCTTATCTTTAAGTCTAACATGGGTGAAGCCACTGAGCCAGTCCATCTTGTCCAGGGTCTTCCGTCCGCGTTGTCACTCTCTCCCTACTACGCCCAGCCTGATGTCCTTTCCCAGAGGCTGGCCTCTCCTCCTAACAGCATGTCCAGAGTACGTGAGACCTCAAGTCTTGCCAGCCTTCTTCCAAGAGAGGTTCTTTGTTCTCTCTGCGGTCCATACTGCTGCCGATAGTTTGTGCCAGCGTCAGAATCCAGATGCATCGATGTGTCTGCAGTCGCCTGTAGTCAGTGTCCAAGTTTCGCCTGCTGATGAGCCGATTGAAAAATGCCATCGTTTGAGTCAGGCACCCCTTAGCCCTCAAAGTAAGATCCGTGTTTTTCAACACCTTTTAAAGACCAGAGCAGTGTGTTGCTTGGTGTCTTGACTGTTGCTTTCACGAGCCTTGATTGTGGATCCGAGCAAGATGAAAATCCTTGACCACTTTTATCTTGATGCTGCCCATTGGTCCAGCTGTGAGTAGTGGTAGTAGCATTTAACAATTCTGAATGAAGAAAAGCAAATGGCACCGGAAGGGTTAAGCTCTAAATTGCTGCCCTCGTTGACTGTTTGCTCTGTAGGTGTGTAACCAGATCATTAGCCGTACTTTTAAGGAAATGAAACCGAGTTTATAATTCATCTGGGTGGATGGAATTCCCAACCCACTGTTTTATATTGTCCTGACCAAAGAGCATGAAGTGTACAGAGTTTACACTGTCTCCAGCCAGCCAAGAACCAGGAGGACAAAGATGGAGGGTGTGTGGGAATATGCGAGTGTCAGTCCATTCAAATGCAGTTGTCAAATGGGTGGAACTTAAACCTGCATCTCAGATACTTGTCGAATTAGTTGCTTGGTGGTTGGTGGTGTGATTGGGTGCTGTTGAGTTGATTTTGACTCAGAAAGATTCCATGTGGCAGAGTAGAACTGCCCCATAGGGTTTTATCAGCTGCAGTATTTATCCTAAGGGATTGCCACACCTTTCTTGGAGTGAGCCGCCAGATTCTCAAACTTTGTGCCAGGTTCCTTAGTTCCATGTGAAAGTCTACTCAAACTCACTGCCGCAGAGTTGGAGCCCTGGTGGTATAGTGGTTACACTTCAACCGTGATTCGCATGGTCAGTAGTTCTAAACCACCTAAATCTCCTTGGGAGGGAGACTGGGCCTTCGACTCTCATAAACAGTTGCAGTCGCAGAAACCTTCGCGGGGATCACTCTGAGTCAGCATCCACTCGATGGCAGCGGGTTTGAGAGCCACGGAGCTAATTCTGAGCCACTCCAACCCTGATAAGACAAAGTAGAACTGACCCCAGCCATGTTTCCAAGTCTGTGATCTTTATGGAAACCAGTTGCCACATCTCTCTTCTGAGATTTTCATGAAACATCTTTTTGGGAATGATTATATTTGTCTATTCTGTGGGGGTGTTGTACTACCTTGAAAGGTTAGAAATGCAAAAGCAAAATGTTCTGTCTGAGATTAGACATTTTATTTGTGCAAATTTGGGTAAGCATCATTTGTACGGTTACTGGAAGTAAGAGAGATTCCTTATTTTCTTTAGGGCAGTGGTTCTCCACCTTCCTAATGCTGTAACCCTTTCATACAGTTCCTCATGTGGTGGTGCTCCCCAACCATAAAATTATTTTCGTTGCTATTTCATAATTGTAATTTTGCAGCTGTTATGAATTAGGCTACCCCTGTGAAATGGTGGTTCTACCCCCAAAGGGGTCAGGACCCACAGGTTGAGAACCACTGCTTTAGGAGTTGGTAAAAAGAAACCAACCAGCCCTGCAGTAGATTCTTGACTTCTACTGTTCCAGGGCTTTACTGCTTCTGCTTTCTCCCTTTTCGCAGCAACATGCTTTCTGCTCTGGCCCTGTGTGAAGCCACTTCCTGTAGACTCTGAATTTATTTACTGCAGATTCCTGTCCAGCAGGAGGGAGGAGCCTAGAGTACCCTTAAATCCAACTAACCCTCCAGGTGCCCCAGCCCTGTCAGAAACCATGCACCGCCCGACTCTTACCTGTCCCCTTGAGAAGGTAGCCAAGTTTGCAAAGGTCGGCAGCCAAGGCAGGAAGGAAAGAAGGACGGAAGAGAGACAGAACTCTTCTTGGCTTTCTGTTTGTGGTTCTCTATAATCTCTTCTTCCTATGCCTTATTGCTCATTAAAAAGCAAAACAAAAACAACTGCTTTGAAGACAGACTTATCTAGGCGACCTTAAGATGTATGAAAAAAACATTCTTTTGAACTTGGTTTGGGTGAGCATCCAAGATCTCCAGTATAATTTCCGAGGACTCTGGTGACGTTGTAAGCCCTGTGCCCTCACGCAGGCAGAAGACTTGAGATTCTTTGGGGATTTTTGAAGTCTTTCAGCCCAACCCCACATCTGATGGGTGCGGCTTGTTTCAAAGGGTGTCACAAAGATCCCTCTGTGACCTGATGCATTTTTTTTATGTGTTCTCTCTCTCTCTCTCTTTCCCTCTCCCTCTCCCTCTCTCTCTCCTCGAGGACATTTCAGACCCTGGGGGAGGAGAGGAGGGGGGGACTTACTTTAAACAAGGCGTTTCCCGCGATGACTTTTGTAGCCCATTCTCAGTGCCTGTGATGGGGTCGCTGGCTTTTCGTCAGTCATGGTGTTACATCAGCACCTTACCGAACGGCTGCCCAGAGGAATGGAGCAGATGGGGATTCGGAAGGACATTGGGAGTTTTTCTGCTTAGAAAGTCTAACATCCACAGAATGGCCCCTGTGCTCCTCTCGTAGACACAGCAAATTCCTGCTCATGGGTCTTATCACAACTTCATGACAAGTTTCTAAAAATACGCCCCACAGTGTGCAGTGTAGCACCGGTTTCTGCGGGAGAGAGGGAGCCAGCCGGCAGGCTGTGTGGGTTCCAGTGAGATGAAGAATCTGACGAATAAAGCAAATTCTTGTGCCTCCCCCTCCCCCTTTCTCTCTCTCGGTAGGTTGCGAGAGTGACACAGATTCGGAATTTACATTCAAGATGCAGGATTATAATAAAGATGATATGTCCTATCGAAGGACTTCGGCGATTGAACCCAAGGCTGCTTTACCGTTCAATCGTTTTTTGCCCAACAAAAGTAGACCGGTCTCCTACGTGCCGGCGCCCTTGAGGAAGAAAAGGCCGGATAAACAGGAGGATAACCGGAGGAGCTGGGCAAGCCCCGTGTACACGGAAGCAGATGGAACGTTTTCCAGGTGAGGGGGTGTGATCTGACGGGGAGGTCTGAAGCTTTCAGCGTGGCTGGCGACGTGGGTGGGGCACTTCACTGTGATGAAAATGACTTTTTAAGAAATGCATTCCGTAGATGACATATTCCGCGACACGCGTGACGACGCTTGCTCTTCCTCCTACCTGTATCTTTTAAGTCACCTCCATCGTGCAGACCCCTCTTTGATCTGAAAACACCAGTGTGTGATTTGCCAGGATCCATTTTTATTTCAGATGCCTGTTTTCAGCTTCTTCGTTTAGATTTCCAGCCTACAGTATGGGGTGATATGAATATTTACTGCCAGCTCTTCTATTTTAATTTCTTCCATTTATCACCCTCCCCCCCTTTGACGAATCTCAGTGGGTGCAGAAAGACTCCTTTAGTTTCCTGTCCAGCTAGCAGGACAGAGGATGCGTGTTCAAACCCAGCATCCTCTCCCCTGACGGTGTGGGGTTCTGAGAGCGATTTGGATTCTGATGAGGAGCGGAGGCGGCCCGACATCATTCGGGATGACTTGGCCAACCGTAGATTCCGGGTGAAAAAGCAGCCCGGGAGTAGCGTCTCGAACATCGCCTCTCCTGAGTTTCGCTCCCAAGTCTTTTCTGCTGTGGCGTCATTAAGCACGGGACTGTCCGCACCGATGAGGTCAGGAATTACCCACCCTGGGTCTGGATACCTACTCTGCCGTTGACTTTAGATGCGGAAAGTAACACCTCAAATCGTTTGCCATTTGTGTCTCTCTTAACACAGCTTCTAACTGAGTCTCTGTGGCCCTGATGGTGGTTCTCACGTTAAGTTGCCGGGACGGGGCTTTTGCCTCGTTGTAGGGGCTGGGGTGGCGAGGAGGGGGACGCAGTGGTGTGCGTGTGATCCGGACAGCATGCCTTTGTGTGTTCTCTGTGGCAAAGCTGCTCCTACTGTGTCTTAACCGGTTGGATGTTTTGAACAGTCATCAGAGGAGTTGGGGCACCAACGTGGAGAACTGGTCAACAGGACAGGCAACGTCAAGCTCCTCTGGTTGTGTGGAGGTTGAAGAGAAGGCAGCAGGCATGCCCAGTGTTGTCAAGGACGATCTTTATGTGCGCAAGCTCAGCCCGATCATGCCAAACACAGGGAATGCATCTGATCAGTTTCTTCCCAAATACTCAGCCCCAGAAGATGTGAGCCGGAAGCGAATAAAGAGGGAGACTTATAAGCCATGGTATAAGGAATTTCAGGGATTCAGGTTCGTCTCCATGCATGTGTCTGTTGTGCTGGTGTCTGTTCACGCCTGAACTGGGTGCATCTCTTAAGACCACAAGGAAAAAGTTCGTCAGCGCTCCCTGGAGCCTCTGTAACTGAGAAGAACTGCCATTTACCTTTAAACTGTAGGCTCTGGATCTCAAAACAGCCTCTTCTAGACATGGCATGATTGTGGGTGTTTCGTTGTCCCTCATTCTTTGTCCTCCCCTCCTGTGCCCTCTCCTCTCTTCTCCTTTCCTTTCTCCGTATCACTCCAGCATAGAAGCAACTCAGATGCTGAGGATGAGGACGGGCGTTCTAACCGGAGCTCTGCCATTTTTAGTGCAATACACAGAGCAGAGCTCAGGCCAGACGACAACCATCAGAGACGTTCGCTGGCGTTGGCACTAGCTACCAAACGGGCGCTAGGAGCGTGGGACGCACATGCAGCCAGCAGCCGCGGGGGTGCCTCGGAGGAGCCCAGGTGGACTGTCTGCATGAGCCGCCTGCTTGGAGCCTGGCCTCAGACATCGGCCCGCATCTGCTGCCGCCTTAACCCACCTTCCTGCAGCGTGCCTGCGCCCAGCCCTGAAATCTCACTCAGGCACGATGGACTGATGGCACACGCTAGAAAATAATGCTTTCTGTGTGAGCACGCAAACTGAGAAGGTGGCGGGCCCCCGCCCTCTTAGTGAGCACAGTCAATGTATACGGCTCTGTAGCTTGACCCAGTCATGTATACGACTCTGTCGTTGTCAGTTCTCTGGGAAACTAAGACACTCACTCACCGCGTGTTACAGTTGTGCTGCGGGCATGGATGTGGAGAAAGGAAATAACTTTTAGACAGAGACTGGGAAGGACAAGTTAATGAATGAGAAGCAATGCAAAAAAACCCCCAAACGCACTAGAGCGTTTGTTCCTCCCTCCCCTCCAACACCTCCCCCGGCCCCATACACACACATTACATTGACCCGTATGCCTATTGCATAGCGTGCATGCTGCCCGACTCTTGAAAAATGTCAGGATCCTGGCTGCTGTGTCATAGGGGCGGGGTACTAGGTCTTTGTGCTCACAGACTGAGGAGGGGGTGGACAGGTGTAGCTCCAAAGGTGGTGTGGTCGATCCATGTTCCAGTCCCTTCCCTCGAGTTTCCACTGCTCCCCTTTCCGGAGAAGTACCCCCTACTCCTCCTCTTTTAAATACTCTTTAGAAAAGTCGAGCCCTGGTGACATCGTGGCTTGTTAGGTTTGGGCTGCTCACCACAAGATCAGCAGTTCGAACCCACCAGTCTCTGGGGGAAACGATGAGGCTTTCTACGCTCGTGAAGGTTGACGCTATCAGAAACTCACAGAGCTGTTTTTCCTGGTCCCTGGAGGTCCCTATGAGTCAGAATCGACTCAGTGGCAGTGGGTTTGATTTCAAAATACTTCTTTTGGTTCTGAGAAAAATGAGCAGGGATCGCATTAGACACTAATCTTTATTTTAAAGCCAGTCCCTCCCTCCCAGGACTCCCTAAAACGATTCACCCCAGGTGACTAGCTGGCTTTTCTTGTACCTGATTGTGTGTGCCCCCACATTTAATAAGACTCTCCTTTCCCTTTTTTTTCTTTCCTTCTTCTGTGCTTCAGTCAGTTTTTATTACTTCAGGCCCTTCAGACATACTCTGATGACATCCTGTCTTCTGAAACAAATGTCAAAATTGATCCTACGTCTGGCCCCAGGCTCATAACACGCAGGAGGAATCTCTCTTATGCCCCAGGGTTTGGAAGAGAGAACCTCAGCCTGTCGACCCTGGATCCTGACTTGGAGAACGACGATTTCTTTGTTAGGAGGACGGGGGCTTTCCACGCAAACCCCTGTGTGCTCCAGGCCTTTGACGATTTCAGGAGGTTCTCTGAGCAGGACGAGCCTGTCGAGCGAGATATCATTTTGCAATGCAGAGAAGGTGAACCTGTACTTCCAGATTTAGAGAGAGATGACATGATCGTCCGCCGAATCCCAACACAGAAGAAAGAGGTGCCTCTGTCCGGAGGCCCAGACAGATACCAGCCAGTCCCTTTCCCCGAGCCCTGGACCCTCCCTCCGGAAATTCAGGCAAAATTTCTCTGCGTGCTTGAAAGGACGTGCCCACCCAAAGAGAAAAGTGCTGGCTGTCGGGTGCTAGTTTCTGCCTATCGGCAAAAGAAGGACGACATGTTGACCCGTAAGATCCAGTCCTGGAAGCTGGGCACTGCGCTGCCCCCTGTCAGCTTCATGCCTGGCCCCTGCAGTGAGACGGACCTGCAGAAGTGGGAGGCCATCCGGGAAGCCAGCAGAGTTAGGCACAAGAAACGGCTGATGGTGGAGAGGTCAGCGTGTGTTTCTGCAAGGGGTCTGGTCCTGTGTAATGTCTCGTGTGTGCGCGCGCGTGCGCGCGCGAAGGCAGCATCGTGTTGCTTGACCCTGCATGCCCCATGCCGTGTTGAAGTGTCTTGTAGACATGTCCCCCATCCCCCACCACGTTGTGAAACCTCCAGCCAATCATTTCATGGAGAAAGTGCAATTCCATTTTTGGCACACCTTTGTGGTCACTTGTTTTAGGGCCCCGTTAAGAAGGTGTGTGTACAAATTTCACCTTTGGTCCCGAGCAAGACTGGTACTCTTCTGCCAACAGGAGGTTTCATAAGCATGTGTCCAATGGCGTTGACTCTTATTCCCATGTCTAGGCGTTTCTGAAAGAGCCCGGCTGCAGTCTGGTTTGATGTGTTTCTCGTAAAATATGACATTGTAAATTTCGTTTAATCTGATCCCTGCTTTTTGACCATCACCTTTTGAGGTGCTTTTCTTTTGAAAGTCCGAGATATCAGTGTGACAATGCATGAGTCTCCTGTGTATGTAGTGGTGGTCATTCTAATAGTAGCTGAGTCAGCATTTGTCAGTTAAACAACTCGCCTTTTCGGATGGATGCGGCTTGTTGGGATGTGGAGGTGGACCAATGTGATTAGGTTGGACAAAAGGAAGAGACCCAGAACGAATTTATTCTGACTTCCTGAAAACGGAGAACCCTTCCTGAGGGTTCTGTTGGCTCACAGTAAATTAAGAAACCCCTCGTCTTTCTGAAGTCTGAATTTCTTTTTTAAAAATCATTTTATTGGGGGCTCTTACAGCTCTTATCACATCCATTGTGTCAAGCACCTTTTGTACATGTTGCCATCATTATTTTCAAAACATTTCTTTCTACTTGAGCCCTTGCTATCAGCTCATTCCCCACTCCCCTCCCTCATGAACCCTTGAACATTTATAAATTATCTTTTTTTTGTCATGTCTTACACTGACCACTGTCTCCCTTCACCCACTTTTCCGTTGTCCGTCCCCCTGGGAAGGGGATTGTATGTCGATCATTGTGATTGGTCCCCCCTTCCTCCCCCCTACCTTCCCTCTACCCTCCTGGTACCACTGCTCTCATGATTGGCCCCGAGGGGAAGTCCGAATTTCTCAAGATAGAATCTTTGTGAGCCCCTGGCACATGATCAATCGTGAAGCACGAGAAACAACCTTTTGAGATTTGTCCATCTCTCGTTCAAAGACCTTGAACGTTTAGAAACTACTGTAACTGAAAAAAAAAAAATGACTTTGTAATTTTTGGCTTTCTGGTTTCCCAGACTCTTTCAAAAGATTTATGGTGACAATGGGTAAGTTTCATGGTGCACAGTCAAAGAAGCGAGACCAAGCTGTGCCGCCTGTCCGTCCTTTGTGTCGTGTGCTGTGCCGCTCCTGTTTCTGACATGCCACTAACTGGTGCTGCGTGCTGTGCATGAGATTTCAAAACCTGGGCAACGCTTTTGACTTGGCAACCCCCATTGTAATATTTTCGTGTTCTTGAGTAGTGTCATGTCCGGTGCATGGAGTAATCGTTTTATGTTTTATTAGAAATTTGAAATCTAGTTCCATGGTTATTGTTTGTATATAATTATGATTTATGAAGCAGTTGATGAAAGATGCCAAAAACACTGGCCTGAAGTTCAGTATACTTATTTGGCTACTTGGGTTGCTGAGCGGTTTAAAACTCTTCTGAGTAGCGTAAATACATGATGGAAAAAGAATGCTTGCATTTACTTAGAGGTTGATAGACCATGTGGCTAGCATGGTCCTCGTACTTGTAACTCAGATTTCTTTTCTAATGGGGATTGGGATTAGCATTGACCTTCCTCTGATGGTACTGAAACGGTTTTCCAGAGTCCTGATTAGGGTATAAGCTATAACATGATGTGGAGCATTATTATCCCTATTGCTTTATATCCGTGATATAATTATCCCTATTGCTTCCGGTACTTTTGTTACATGTGCTATATTGATAGTACCAAGATTCGCTGGCTTTGATACAGTGTACAAATCTTAAAAAGAAAAAGAAAATGCAATGCAGTTGGGTTGATTCCAATTTACAGCCGTCCCATAGGATGGAGTCGAGCTGTCCCATTGGGTGTCTGAGGCTGCTGTTTTCATGGAAGGAGGCGGTTGGTCACAGGTTTCTCCTGTGGAAAACCTAGGAGGTTTGAGCTCTCCTGGCCGTTGGGTCAGCAGCCAGGCATCTTAACCCTTGAGTCACTAAGGGTCAGTTGTGTAACTTTTGGATATTATTAAGAATAATAAGCATTCAAGATGCCAAAGGTTTGGGCCACGGGCAGATGCAAGGGCCTCTTACGTTACATGCTCCATGTATAGGCACACAGTCCGTATTTCTCTCCTCATGGGTAAAGTATCGTTGTCCGTGAGGATGGAGACAGTGCGATGCGAGATGAGTGCTCGTCTCTAGCCATCGTGGGACAGCGGCTTCAACTTGAGTGCAAAGCCCGCGTCAGTGTTTTGAACGGTAACGTTGAAATAATTTTTATTGGTAACTGAGATGTGACTCTGATGATCCTTCTCTGAGGACCAGTACCTGCTGGAAGTAGAAACACGTACAAAGGTTGCAGGGACTGGGCATGTACCCCTAGTGACAGAAAAGAACACCCAGATGCTGCTCCTGAACGAGCTGAGCCTTGTGCTGGCCTGCAGCTAGCAGGGGCACGTGCCTCTGGAGGCCAGATGAGACTCCTGCGTAGAAATCGTGTAGAGTTTGTTCGTAAAGGCCACTCACTCCGCCTGCACTTTGGTGTCCAAGTGATGATGCAAATGAACTAGATTGCAAATGGAGACTGATGAATCATAATGGAAAGGAACAAGACTGTCTTCAGATGACTCAGGTGTGTTTTTAGCAGCACTTGAAATCAACATCTGTCACAGTGGCCCAGCCTGCCCAACCGCCCCATAGCCTATCAGTGACTCGTGTTCCTTCAACGGGTTTTGTTACAGTGGCAACAAAATACAAATGGAATTAGTGTAGGCTCTTAATCTAGGTCTTGTTTGTTGTTTATGTTGGCTGATACTTCTCTGGGGATGATGTATGTTAGCAAGCTTGGAATGCTTACTTGGAAAAAAAAACTAAACAAAACCTTATTACCCAACATTCTGTCATTGGAAAATAACTACCGATAGCATGAGTGTTTGTCTTTTGATAAAGATGATGTGAAAGAGAAATGTGTAGTGTCGCAGGAAGTCTGGGGTGGTTCATTTCTGGCTTGCTCTGTATTTGGCTCTTATAACACGTGTGGGTTTGCCTGCTTTAGTCTAACACTTTGTGTGTGGCAGGCATGTCACATGTGCATGCTCACGTGTTGCATGGATTTTTGCCCGTGTGGTTCACCTGTGTCGTGAGACGAAACCATGGAGTCTGCTGCCTGTTCAGCAGGAAAGAAGTGGTGATCCCAGGTGAAGTTGTAACCAAAGACAGCCAAACCTTCTGCAGTCAGTCCTGTTGTGTTGGCCACGAGGTTCTCTAGAATCACACACACAGATGAGACAAGCAAAAAGAAGGGTGGGGAGGGGTTGAGTTATGTCTGATGAGATCAGCAAGAAAAGTAAGTGTATAGTCTAGCTTTAGGGTTCTGCCATTCTAAGTCTTTAAACCCGGGGTGGGGTCTCAGAGTGGGGACTTTTTTTTTGCCTTCCTAGAGACATGTGGCAATGTCCAGAGACATATTTGTTTGTTAGAAGTTTTTTGTGTGTGTGTGTGTGTGTGTGTGTGTGTGTGTGTGTGTGTGTGTGAGAGAGAGAGAGCAAGAGAGCGAGCTATTGCCATCTCATCCAAAAAAAACCTCCCAGCTCACTGCCATCACGCCAATCTAACTCACAGAGCCCCAACAGGTGGGGCAGGACAGAACTGCCCCTGTGAGTTTCAGGGACTGACTCTTTACAGGGCTAGAAAGCCCCGTCTTCCTCCCATGGAGCGGTGCTAGTGGTTTCAAACTGCTGACCCTGTACTTAGCAGCACAATGTTTAACCACTACACCAGGAGGGCACCTGTGAACCATCTCTCTTGTAGAGGGTGTTCAATATCCTACAGTATATAGGACAGTGGCCCTCAGCAACAATGCTTGTACCTCATCAGTCACACGGCTTTTCATTAAAAATGGAAAGTCTTCATGATATTTGTCATCTTTCTGTACTTTATGCTAATTCTAAAGCCTCTACCTCCAGTCTGGCCTTGATCCCTCTTTAGGGACTTTCCATGACCCTTACCAAAGGTGTTTGTGCTTGGTTCCGACTCATAGTGACCTGGGTCCACCTGCCTGGCCCTGCGCCATCGTTACAGTTCAGTTTGAGCCCCTGCCTGCAACTGCTATGCCAGCCCGTCTCCAGATGCCTTCCTCCCTTGCACTGGCCCTCTGTTGACCCAGACGCTGTCCTTGCCCGGGGGCCAGTCCCTCCTGATAACACGGCCAAAGTAAATGAGGCAACAAGCACATACACAAAGATGCCTCTGTCTCTGAAAGGTGGGGACCAGAACTTAGTATTATGGGATTTCCATTTGCTGTGTCAAGGCTAACCGTGCTTTTATGTTTAGGGAGCTTTGTTACATGTTGGCTTTCGGGATCCCGTAGACCAGTAGTCAGCAAACCGGCTCGAGAGCCAAGTGTGGCTCTCTGGGTACATACAGGTAGCTCTGAAGTAAGTCGGAAGAAAAAAAAATTTAAGCCTATTCTTCAGAGAATGGTGATTTCATTTATTTGTAAAATACATATTTATGATTTGCGAATCATTTTTAAATTGTTGGAGGGACAGGATTGTCTCTTCAGTGTCAGAAGTGTGCCGACCCCTGCGGTAGACCCTAGTTATCTAACCATTCGATTCTAAAATGATATGCGCTCTCACGCTAGCCCGAAACTCTCAGGAGAGTAGCAGGTGACGCACTGAGGGGGGAGGAGAGTGAGAGAATTACAGTGACCTTGGTTCATGGTCCACACCTTCTCGCTTCATCTTTTACCCCCTCTGCCTTTACACTCACAGTGCTATTACGAGAAAAAAATCCAACTGAAATTGCAGGGTGTTAGGCCTGTAATTGTGGACAAACTCCAAATGCAGTTCTCACTTGGAGCCGCTCCAAATAAGAACATGTACACATGTCAGTGGTAAATGAACCCAAACCACACTCACTGCCCTGGCATCGGTGCTGACCCAGAGTGACCCCCTGTGGGGTTCTGAGACCTGATTGTTTATGGGAGTAGAAAGCACTGTCTTTCTCACGCGTGAGGCGAAAATCATGATGTAATTTGCCAGAGCATGGTAACTCAGCCCTCAAAACATGCTAGGGCCCCATCATGCTCCCCAACAATTTTCCTGGCTCCATCTTTGATGCTATCGCCGTTGTGGGAGGCGGTATCTGTATTTCAGGGGCAGAGACAAACAACTGGAGGAGAGTGGCGGAACCCGCCTGGGGGCCTCACCCCCATGACATAATCCACGCAGACTGCCTGGCAGTGTTATCAGCATCCAGTAAGCCCTCACAAAGTTTAACACTGTGCTGCTTACTCTGATAAGGTAAGGCTTCTGCGTGACCCGGCTGAGAGGCTCCCTGCACTTAGAATGTTCTCGATTTTATCTGTGTGGTCTGGGAGTTAGCTCTTGGGAGAATCCCACCCAGTCGTTCTGTGTAGGTGTATGGCATTGGTGTGCGATGCATACCAATGTCCGCACACTCTGAGAAAGCTCTGGTTGAAGCACTGAGAGGCTGAGAGAAGGGAAGGCCACTTGTCAGGGCAAATTTCGAAAGACTTTATCCAGGTGATAGGATGTTATCTGGATAAGTCACACGTTGCGTGCCGGCCACGGGGTGGGAACTCTTGGAGGCCCAGGTGGTACTTAGCCATGAACAAGCCAGACAGAAGTCTTGCCTTGTGGTTTTTGTTACAGGGCAGGTAATAAGCAACTATACATTCCAGTTTTAAAAATATATTTGATTTATTCCCAATAAATACATACTTTGTTCCAATGGGAAGACAGGGTTGGGGAAGGGTGAGCTACGGGGAAGAGTCACTTGCTGTTTTGTATTGGATCGTCAGGGATGGAAACACGGAGTTCCCATCTGAGCGGTGCGGTAGAAGTGAGACAAGCCATGCGCCTGGACATTGGCATGGAGAGCCTTCCAGGCAGATTGGAGAGCAAGGGGAGAAATCAGAGGGTTGAATGCCAGCCCAGAGTCCAGTGGCTGGAGCTGTGAGGAAAGGGGGAGGAGAGGGATTTGATGGCAAAGGAGCTCACAGAAGTTGGCAGGAAACTGGTAACCCAGGACTGCAAGATCTCGAGGGAACGTGTCTTTAACCAGCATGAGATGGGAAGTAATTGGTAGGTCCTGAGGAAAAGGGAAGGGTTTTCAAGGCTCTTTGAGAGAATAGAATGTTGGGAAGAAATTTTGGAAGCAGGGAGGCCAATTCCTGCAGTCATCCAGGTGGGAAACAGCGATGGCTTGGGTGGAAGTCATTGTGGAGGTGCGGAGAAGTGGCTGCATCGTAGGCAGAGCCAGGGGTCCAGGGACAGGGTTGACTGGGTAGACTCGGTTGCAGTGTTATGAGAAGAGGGTCTGAGGTGATGACAAGGTTTTTAACCCAAAGTCTGGGAGAGTGGAGTAAGCTTTTACTGAGATGAGGAAGACAGTGATCAGGAGTTGGTGAGGGGGGAGCGGTCATGCTCACGGGTCCGACATGAATGGACTTGGAAACACCTGTTAGCCATCCACGTGGACCGTGTTTGGGAAGTCACATTGACTTGTGTGGAGTTAGCGGAGATCCTGAAGGAGGAGATGGTGAAGGGCTTTTGAGTCAGAGGGACCATTTGAAGAAGGCTGGTCCCTGCCTTCAGAGGCTGGCCTGGCGATCATTTAAGAAGTGATTGTGAACAGCCAGGTTGAATGGACTGTGCTCTGATCTAGGGTGCTGGCAGTTGAAATGGAAAGAAAAGGACACTGAATAAGAGGGCTTGATCACTAATTGAAGGGGGGGGGGTTTGGGGGGAAGGCAGAAAGTAGGGTGAAAAAATAGGTCTTCAGTTTCCAAGGTGGATGATTGGAAGGGCAGGTGGCCCCACCCGCTGATACCCGAGAAACAGCAGGTGAGGAGACAAGGTGGATGTTGGCTGCATGAGGCAATGACCATGTGTGCAGAGAATGTCAGTTTTCAAAATCCTTTCTAAACAGGAGTTCAATGGGTTCTGTTCTAATGGTCGGAGCCCTAGTGGCTCGGTGGGATAAGTGTTGGTTTGCTGACGGCAGCGAGCATTTTGAATCCAGGCTGCCCCCAGTGAGAAAAATTAGGAGTCTCTTTCTGTGAAGATCTATAGCCTTGGACAATCCTACGTGGTCAGTTCTCCACTAGCCGTTGGAAATGAGTGAAACATCAAGGGCTGATCTTGACCTGGGAATATTTGCACAGGATGATAATTAAGTTCCTGTGCTAGCTAATATGGGCAAGTGTGTAGTAAAAGTAGAACAATAAGATGGCCAACAGATCGGAGAAGGCAAAGTTTACCCAAGAAGAAGGACTTCCTTCCTCCCGCCCTCCCCTGCCAGTGCAGTTTTCTCTCCCTTTCTGAGTGCGTGTGACCACGCACGCATGCTTCTTGGTCATCTACACCGTGTTCTATGTGTCAGTGTTTGCTTTAAATTGGGGTCGCTGGTAAAACCCTCGACTCTTATGCAGGAGACGTGGTTATATTTGCCTGTCACCGGTGTTGCTAGGATGCTGAACAGGTTTCTACTGGGCTTCCAGACTAAGACAGACAGAAAGGAAGACTGTGAAAACCCTGTGTATCACCATAGTTGTGCCCCCTTAGAAGACTCCTCCCTAAACAACAACAAACAACAACTTTAGATGGAGCTCGTGAGCACTGAGAGACGTTACATGTGAAACCATGCAAGTTGCGTCTGTAAAAAGGGTGTGTGTGTGTGTGTGTGTGTGTGTGTTGGGCGCTATTAGCAATAAGAGTTCCGTTGCTTGGAGAACAATTCCGGGCAGCCGTGGGGCAGCCCTTTCACCGTCTTTGAGGAGAAGCAGCACATTTATTCATGGTAGTAAACTTGAGGAGAACTATCAGGTAATCATTAAATTATTTAATAAGTGCCCAGAAAAGGCAGCCAAACGTTAAAAGGTGATCTTGGGGAGAAGATAGAAAAATAGACAGGTGATTCTAGTGACTAGTATTTTTTTTCTCTAAAGTAATCCTTTACGCATTGACCACCTCCACGTCACGAATAGGGGATTGCTTGCACCGAGGGGTGCAGGCATCTTTTAGTCATTTTGCGCAAGAAGTCACAGTTGGGTGCAGTGCTGGGCTCTAATTTCTGCGTTTGGAAAAAAACAAACCACCATGTATCTCTGAAGTGCTATTTCTGCGATACCATCACCACAGTGGCCAGGCAGTGCAGCAGAAACGTAGATGGAGTTTCCAAATAGAAGTCCAGCCTTCCAGGCTTAGCCCTCAGTGTGGTCATGTGAACCCCGCTCACCTCCAGTATTTGTCTCGTAGGAGTAAATCCATGAGTGATGTGAGCACCGAGGATGTTCAGAACCTGCGTCAGGTGCACTACGAGGAGATGCAGAAAATACGATCACAATTAAAGGAGCAGGACCAGAAATGGCAGGATGTAAGTATCCCTTAGCTTGAGTGTCAAGGCCGGGTGGGAGGGGAGTGTATTATTGGGCTTCTCACTGCTTCTTTAAAAAGGAAACCATTGTACTCGAGAGTTGACTGGTGATTGTTGCTACTGCTGCGGTTAATGACGTCCGAGCGTCCTGTTAGCATCCTGGTAGACTAATGCGACCAACTTCATTGGACTGGACTTTTAAACTTTCTGAGCTTGCTCCTTGTCACATTTTCAAAGCCCATGGTTCACATGTGATAGTAGTAGGTTTCTACTTCCCTCTGGTATCTTCTGTGAACCCTGAAAGGTAGGAAAAGGTTTTTTGGCCATAGACTGAATGCTTTAGATCAGTGTGGTAGTTGAATTGGGGCATGGCTGTCTGTTATGCTTGAGAAAGGAAAGAGAGAGACAGAGAGACAGAGAGACAGAGAATGTTCAAGGTTTTGTACAGAAGAGGAGCCGAGGAGTCCAGAATTATCAGGGAGAAAAGAAAAGGTTTCCGAAGAGTGAATGGGAGGTATTTGAGGGGAACAGGAAGTCTATTCCTGCATACTAGGTAGGCTGACAAGTGATTATCCAGTGTGACTCGAAATGGGAAGTACTCCTAGCACCGCTAATATTTATCCAGATGTCTCTATGGAGGAGAAAGACATTACCTTTAATTTTGACCACATAAAAAATTTGGAGCTCTATGTAATTGAAAATGACAGTTTCGGTAAACCAAAGGACTGTAAAGAAAGACAGTAGCCGAGCTAAACAAGATCTCGCCCGAAGATGCTTCAGGGACAGCCTGGTGGAGAAAGGAGTGAAGTGGTAGCATGAGCAGAAGGGCTGAGGGTGGTAAGTCCTGACTTTCCAAGGGAAAGATGGTTGGGCCAATGAACTGGAAACTCTGCCTTGGCTGCATTACTGAATTCCAGTGCTTCTTTTAATTGGGAAGTCAATTTAATTGTCAAAAATCCATGATTCAATGTCACTTGCCCAAAAAACATGGTGCGTATTTGGATATGGAATTAGCAAGGCTTGGCAGGCTATCCATTAGGTTAAATGCAGGCTAGTGACTCCTTGGGACTAAAGGCATTCTGCCCCCAATCCCACCTTTCGGGGAGCAGTTGCATACTGCCAGCCTGGAAGTAGTTCATACTGGCCCTGTCAGCATCTGAAGCACATTTAACAACCTTATTGTGCATGCCTTTCGGGTGAGGGCCCGGTTGAGGCCTTGGGATGCACCTTTCTTTGAGTTAGGATGCTCGCCACTACCCAACCCTGGTATGCAGTTCCCTCCATGGAGATGGGAACAGTCAGACTTCTGTGTTTCTACGGACATAGAATCCTATGTCATTGAAAATCAGGACTTGTTTGATCAACTCCTCTCTCTCTGCGCAGCTTAGCCGGAGTAGTGTTCTGGAGGTCTGGCAAGCAGGCATCAGCTTGTTCCTGTGTGAACTACTTTTTTATCCTGCCTTTAGTGGAGCTTGCCCTCTTTGTACTGCATACTTGAGGTGGGCCTCTGCAGTGAAGCCTTTGCAGGCACCGCCTTCCCCTTTCCGGAGGTAGACTTGACCTTTGCACACGTATGCCGAACTTCTAGTGCCTTGTGAGACTCTACCTTCTAGCCCGTGAGCTCCCTGAATGGAAGTCTCACTTTCCTCTCCAGGCCCAGCCTTGGGTCTTGCCTCCCGGTTGGGACCGAGCTCCGAAAGGGAACGTCTCTTTCCCTTATGTTGTCCCCGGACAGTCGCATTTCTGTGTCGATTTTATTAGTGAATCATGACTTTTCAATGTACCAGCCAGATTTGGGGAGTGAGAGGAAAAAGAAGCTGAAGTGGTGACTGCTCTTGCTGACCTGGCACCTAATTACAAGTGTTTAACATTCTTCGTGAAATGGGCACCCAGGCAAATGCTTTCTGGGAAAACATAAATGGAGTCTATCTTACTAGGTCAGGTTTTCCAGACAGACACATGAGATAAAGGCTTAGTACAGAAACACAGGCTATAAAAAGCAAAATTGGGGCACCTTGACATCAAGCTGAAGCAAATACTTTCAGCGATGTAATGGGACACCCGTCCCTCTCTTGCTACTAGAGAGGGATTATAGAAATGCAGGCATGCCTGTGCTGATGTGATTCCTTTTTCCTAACAGGACCTTGCGAAATGGAAAGACCGTCGAAAAAGCTACACTTCAGATCTGCAGAAGAAAAAAGAGGAGAGGGAAGAAATTGAAAAGCAGGCGCTTGAGAAGTCGGAGCGAAGCTCCAAGACCTTCAAGGAAATGCTGCAGGACAGGTAAGGACACTGGGTCCCAGCTCACAGGTGGAGGAGCAGTTTCCACGGCGTTAGACGCTGCTGTTTGTGTCGGTGGAGGGGGCTTTCTGTTCCCTGATCATTTAACCTTCACCAAATAGACCAGGAAACGCTCCCCATCCCACTGCCTGGCAGCGAGGGAGCCAAAATGATGCTTGTAATAGTGGCTTGGATTGGCCAGAAATGAGTGTGCCTATCATTCACATCAGGAGTCGGATGGAGGGTCTTAGCTGTATTTGGTGCTGAAGATAAACCACAGTTTCCCTCGTGAAAGTGAATGTAGGAGCAGAATCGTCATATGGAAGCAGCTCCCAATTTTAACTCAATTGTATAAAAATCTAGCATAATCCTCTTTGATGCTTTATTGGGGTGATTCAAATGACATTTTAAAGGAAGTCTATATACACGTAATGTCTGCAGTGCTTTTTTTGGTATTGCAAATCACAGGAGAAAAATGTAATTCAAGCTTTCCCTATAAAGCAGTTACTATAGGAAGTCCTAGGATATTCACCAGACCAACGAGAAGGCAAATAGAAGCCTGAAGCATCATTCCCAACAGGAAATGGGCTGTCAGGCAAAATTAAACAGAACCTCTTTGTACCTCAAAAGCCAATGGTAAACACAGGCTTATCCGTGTCAATGCATCAGCTAGCCTGTGAGGAAACAGACCACACTAAATGTTGGAGATCAGACTGCTCCAGAACCTTCTCCATAAATGCGAAGGATCACTTTTCATCAGTCATCATTTTCGATGTAAATTCTTTACTGTATTAAGTTTTTTTCCCCTTTAAACTTGTTATTGTGAATTGATTGAAGGTTTACAGAGCAGTTCACTAACCTGAGTTTAACAGAAGCCTGAATTTTTGGTACATTTATTTTATTCCACCAAAAGCAAACTCGTCTACAGGGGGTGTGTGTTGGGGAGGGTGCCGGGAAGGGCACAGAGAGGATGGGAAAGCCACTGGATTGTGAGGGAATGCGTGACTTCAGAGGTCATGCTGGCTGTCGGAAAATGTGTTATATTTATGGTGTTCTCGTTCTGTAAGAGTCTTATGCTCGTGGATCCTATTTTGGGGATTGTTTCTTAGTACCATAATCTTCATCAAGATCAAAAGGATACTCCTGTGAATGACTTCTGAGCTTCTGTTAACCACAGACCAGTCCTTCCCATCCTCCTCCGTTGTGGCGTGAAGAGACAAGTACATAGACAGGTGCCCTCATGTGGTTCGTATTGATGCTTCTGGGGGGTTAGCCGCTGATCGGCTTTTCATGACTAGTCTGGTCTATGCACTCATTACCCAAATGACCTCCCTCTCTCCCCCTCTGGTGCCCAAATGCCTAACACTCTGTGGGGTGTTTCGTTTTCTGAAGGGAATACCGGAGTCAAACGTCGCCCAGTGACCAGCAGAGAACAGCTGCACCCAGAAGGAGGATGTATTCATTGGATGATGTTCTGAATGAAGAAAATCTGCCCGCTCCATTGACTGTGTCAGAAGCAAGTGCCCAGAGTGAGAGAGTGGAAGAGAAGGGGGCAACTTACCCTACAGAAATGTCCAAAGAAGGTTCTACAACCTTGGCAAAACGAGAGGCCCCTCTGATGGCTGAAATTCCGCTTCCTTCCAAAAGTCCTGCGGAAGAACAACGCCCAGATGCTCTGTCTTCCCAGCAGCCACTGAGTATACAAATGGAGTCACCTCGGGTTTCAGCTTCTTTCCCCAGAAGTTCCCAGAAAGCCGATACCGCTAGACTAACGTCTGTGGTCACGCCGAGACCTTTTGGCGTCCACTCCAGAGGAATCTCATCACTCCCCAGATCCTACACGGTAAAAGTGTCCCCAGGTTGTCATGTGGTGGGGCTTCACCTGTACAGAGAGGCTTGGTTTAGCGCCACTCCCTGTATTAGACATCACTCACAGAGACAATTGCATTGACATCTCTTGAAAGCCAGTGGACATTTCATGCTTAAATTAGAACGATGTAGGATCTAATAGACGTGGAATTCCATGATTGTTTGCTGTTGTTTTCAGAACGCGGTGCCTTCAGAGGCAACTCATGTATTCTCTTAGCTGCCGTATTTTCTCAACTGAGAGCTTTTGTAAATTGTGAGGGTGAGGAAGTTCCAGTAGTCACTCCTTTTTGACCTAAAAAGGGGAGCAATTTCATAAAGCTGAGTCTAAGTATTTTCATGTGCTGAGGTGAGACATTATATTTTTCCAAATTTCTTAAAACTTGCTATGTGTGAATATAATTTTGACAGTGTTCAAACATGTAGATGAGGGGCTTCAAGAAGCTTGTGGGAAATGGAATGAAAAGATCATGGAATTTCCCCCCACATGCTTTTTGAAGCCAAGCCCTGGCATAGTGGGTTATGCATTGGTTTGCTAACCACAAGTTAGCAGTTTGAGACCACGAACTGCTCCATGGGCGAACGAGGAGGCTTTCTGCTCCAGTAAAGATGGACAGTCTCGGGCGAACGAGGAGGCTTTCTTCTCCAGTAAAGATGGACAGTCTCGGACACCCACAGGGAAGGTGGCCACGAGCTGGAACCAGCTGGGCGGCAGTGAGTTTGATTTTGGAGTTTCATGTGTTTCTGTGACAGTTGGAAATTTTGAGAGGGCCAGGAGCTTTGGGGGCAGAGCGGGTGACATGCTGGTCAGCTAACAGTGAGTTCAGCAGTTCAAAGCTACCAGCCACCCCATGGGAAAAAGATGAGGCTTTCTACTCCCATCAAGAGTTGCAGTCTCAGAAATGCCTAGGGGCAGTGCTACGCATCTCGAGGGTTGCTGTGAGTCTGAATTGACTTGCTGGCAGTGAGCGAGTGCGTGGGTGAGTATATGGAAGTGTTTGCCTGGAGAGTGAAGTGGCACCACCTAACAAGGGAGCTGTTCATTGGTTGTGTGAGTAAGAGAACAACATAGTCTTAAAAAAAGTCTGTGACCACATTCCCTGTAGACTCAGAATCTAAAAGAGAAATGCTGTCATGAAAAACTGATTATCAGGCAGGGAGGCCTGCCTGAACTAACCAGGAAACCTTGACCGTGAGGAAAAACAGAAAATACATATTGGACAACATAAAAGTCACATGATGTTATAGTCCAACCCCCAGGGGGGCAGCAAATAACAGAAAGGTGGGTGAAGGGAGACAACGGACAGTGTAAGATAGGAAGTAACAATAATAATATATAATTGATCAGGGATTCACAGGGTGGGGAAGAGAAGGGGCCAAAAGAGGAGCTGATACCAAGGGCTCAAATGGAAAATAATTGTTTTGGAAATGATGATGGCAACATAATGTGCAAATGTGCTTAATACTATTGAATGATGGACTTTTAGAAGATTTATAAGAGCCTCCCAATAAAATGATTAATTTAAGAAGTAAACAGGCATCATTCACATAAATAAAACAGTATTACAGACTCAGAAAAACATTAGCACAATGTATTGATATAGCTCGAGGGTTAATATACTCATAACTCTGAAGAAAATATAAACACTAGAAAGATAGATGACGATGGTAGCCATTTCCCAGGAGAGGAAATTTAAATGGCTGAGAGTATAAAATACAAGAATGCAGAGAAACAGGCAACTTTTGTACATTGCTTTGCCCGTGAAAATTGTGTTTATTTTTGGAGGATGGATATATATGACCTTTGACACACACCCCTCCCCTTTGGGGAATCTGTACTATAAAACAGAGTTTGAATCATAAAACTATATGAGAAATTGTTGCTATAGATTTGGAAGTCACAGAGAAGCTTAAACAGCATTGAATGCCCATCAAATGAATGAATGGAATATCCGATCATTAAAAAGGGTAGTCAAGAGTTCTAGCTACTCACCCGGAGTACGTAGTCATATTTAGATCCATTTTAAATTAAAACACACAAAGCAAGTTCCAGACATCTGTATATAATATCTCTTTTGTAAAATCAGTAACAGTTTTGTAAAATCAATTAGCATATGACTCCTAACCACAGGTCAGTGAACCCACTAGCCATTCTGAGAGAGAGAGATGAGACTTTCCGTTCCTATAAAGACTTGTAGCTCCTGAAAGTCTTGGGAGCAGGTCTCCTCTGCTTGACAGGGTCCCTAAGAGCGGGATGGTCCCTAAGAGCAGGATCCACTGGCAAGCAATGGCTTTGGCTTTGTGAATGTATTCTTTCCAGGCTGTGAGCTGTTGTACTTTGCTGTGGGAGGTATATGCTACTTTTATGACTTGACCAAAAATTTCATGTAGCGGATATAGTTTATAAGTAGAAAAAGAAGCTAATAGAATATCACATTGAACATGTTATTTCCTATCTAGATGGATGATTCTTGGAAGTACAATGGAAATGCAGGCAGCATGAAGAGAACTGAGAATACCTCTGCTCCACAGCCGGATACAAGCCAACTGACTGTCGGTGTGCCCCGTGAGACAGAGGCGGCGGCGGTGAGAGTGCCCTCTCCTGCACCCTCCTCCCCCACCTCCTCGCTCTCCCAGGACCAGAGAGCCACTTCTAAAGGCCAGCTGTCTTCAACCTCTGGCCTCGACTTAATGTCGGAATCTGGAGAAAGCGGAAGCTCTTCACAAGTAGAGGTCTCAAGGTCACAGGTGAGTTTGGGGAGGCTCTTTGTCAACGACTGCTCAGAGATCAGCATTTAATTCTGCAAATCACATTCTTTTTTTTTTTTTGCAAATCACATTCTTAACTCCCCACCATGGGGGTCTGGATTGATGATGCTGAAAATGAGAGTGCATTTTATTTTTCATAGATCTTGCAGGAAGCAGGTTCCTTCCCATTCTGAGTTTATGGGTCTAAATAACACTTGTGGAATGTACGAATAGACACTAAGCATCTCAAAACAAACAAAAACAAAACAAAATAAACACAAAAAAACCCCTCACTGCAATCAAGTCAATTCCAACGCAGAGTGACCCTAAAAGACAGGGTAGAACTGCCCTTGTGGGTCTCCGAGCCTGGAACCCTTGATAGGAGTTGTTGCTATGGGCCTGTCTGGCCCATAACCACGCTGTACACAACAGAAGGAAACACTGCCTGGCGCTGTGTCCTCCCTACGATTGTTCCTGTGCCTGGGCCCATTGTTGCAGCCACTGTGCCCATCCGTTTCATCGGTGACCTTTCTCTTTTCGCTGCTTATGGGAGTAGAAAGCCTCATCTTTCTCCCAAGGAGTGGCTAGTAGTTTCAAACTACTGACCTTCATGGTTAGCCGACTAACGTGTAAGCCACGCCACCATCAGGACTCCTGATGCCATTTCTGTGGACTTGAAATACTCATGCACACTTTAGAATGCCTGGGATTCTAGACCACTGCTTGTTCCTTAGCGGGAACATTGAAGTTTAGTTACAATTTGACAATTGTGTTCCTTTACATTTGGAGTCCAAACAAAATACGCACTGTTTTCACCCCAAAAACACACATTGTCTGTTTGCTTGCCAACTGCTTCCTGCAAATATTTTTGGAAGTGCTTCCATGCCCCACCCCCACTTTGTTAATATGTTGGTATTAAAAAATATTAGTATAGCATTTTTATAGGTGTTTTTCTTAAAAGTTATTTTATTGGGGGTTCGTACAACTCTTATCACAATCCATATGTCCATCCATTGTGTCAAGCACATTTGTACATTTGTTTAGTACACCATTTTTACAGAAATACCTTCCATGGGGACGGAGTAGTTGGCTAACACAAATAGTGGGTATGCGTTATTTGCGTAAAAATGCGATAGCCAAGTGAAGAATGATTGTGGGTGTTTGCAGTCTCGATTCGGAGACTAGAAGAACAGAATGAAAATTATGAGTCAGCCCATTGTTTGGGAATGATCGTGGCTCATAGATAGGCATGTTTCTTCGCTGTTCCTATGCATGCTTACAAACTTTTATCTGAGGACAGTTTCTCCAGCTTACTAAAATCATTAGGTGCACAATTTATTGTATTCATTTTTAAAGCCTGAAATTGTAAAATTAGCATCAGGCATTTCAACGGCCACGAACTATGGTAGCCTACTTTATAGGTAGGAAACCCGAAATCCTAGCAGAGAGGTCCTACCAGTGGGAGCAGCGTGTCTCTCGTTGTATGGACATGAGTATTGGGCTTCGTGGTTTTGAGGAGCAGATTCAGCAGAGCAGCTTCACGACTGTGCCCTTTGCTAGGTGAGAGGACCTCCCTCAGGCTAGCAGCACTCTAATTGCACCGTGGATTAAGGCCGAGGGTGGGGGAGAGTTCTCCTGGCCATTAGTCCTCAATTCACATGGCATGGGTCCAGGTGTCACCATTCATATATTTGGGCTCCTCTCTCACCAAACTTGAAATGCATTCTGCCCAGCAGCACTAGGCTTATGTAACCACTGGAGCCAGATGTAGCTGGGTTTTCCTGTGCCGTGGGAACAGCCTATCTTGGAGATGCTCTGTGTGTCCATTTCTGTGCTGCCAGGCAAGTAGCCTTGTGTAGCATCCCTTCCACCCCACTCCTGCCTGAGGAGGAACTCGAGATGCACTTTCATAGAACAGCCAAAGAGCAGTATGTCAAGGGTTCTGTGCAGTGTTCTCTCAAGCTCCTGTTCAAATGTCATCCTTCTAGTTCAATTGTCAATGCTGACTTTGAAGTTAACCCTTGGTGAAGCATCCAGATGTGTGGATTGTCTTCAGGGCTCTCTCTCTCTTCCTTCCTTAACTGGTCAAAAGTTGTTTTGTTTTGTTTTCTGTTAAAAAGTCTTCCCTTCCTACTGCCAGCACTTCCCTTAGGTTTATCCCTTTCAATTACAATTCTGGCCCTTTCCCTCGTCAATGGACAAGTTTTATAAATATCCATTGCTGTTGAATGGATTCTCACTCGTAGTGTGACCTGTCACTATGGGACTGGCCTCTAGGGTGTGTACCACTGGCATCTTTATGGAGCCAGACTGCCAGATCTTTCTCCCTCGGGAGGTTTAAACCGCCAACCTTTAGGTCCCTAGCCAAGTGCTGAGCCACTGTGCCCTCAGGGCTCTTGTTCCATAACTCATCGTATACATTTGTGCCTTCTGCACCAGACCAGCTGCGAATTCACCTGTGTCACACCAGGCCGAAACAAAAAAGCCAAAGCGCATGGAACTAGTTCAGAATCGTAGTGAGAGCTGCCTTATAGCACAACTTTGTCACCAGGCCTCCTGATCCGAGGGTCATACTCGCAAAATTCCCTCCATAAAAACCGCCCCCAGGGGCGCTCTGGAGGTCGAGTGAATTAAGTTCAGAGTACTCACTGAGGTTCCTCCTGACTGGCCCTAAATTCTCACTGTAGTAGTATTACTGAAGCCTCGCCTGTGGAATTCTCTCGACCCATCCTCACAGCTGCTTGGTGAAATCAGCATAGCGTGATGAGCCCAGTCTTATAGTTGTGAAAATCGAGGCATGGAGCAGTTATGTTGTTACGCTACTTGTCCAAAGTGCTAAAGGCTACTTAATGGTGGATCCAGGACTCGAACCCAGGCAGTCTGACTCAAGGTTGCTTACGTAACCACCAGGGGAGCCATTTGGGAAAAGAGGAAGGGAGGCATGCGTTCCCATGAGATTACTTGCCTTCCCTTAAACACAGCATGTCTCTACCTCTGTTCTTATTGCTGCCCCATTTGGAAACAGCCATCTCACCGGCCCCTTCTTTTTGACATCCTACCATTCCTTCAAAACACAGGAGGGATCACGTTCTTCATGAATCAACACCACCACACCCCACCCGGCTGGAATTTAAATTTTTTTCCTTTGAAGTCTCTTGCACTGGATTCTTCCTTGTTCCAGCTTGTTCAAGGGCTTTCTCATTACCAGTATTCTTTGCGCCCTCTGCAGACGCACACCTAGCAGGCGGAGTTTTCGCTGACTTGAATTACAACCGAAGTCTAGACCATGAGACTGAGCGCACGAACTTGAGCCATCAAGGGCACTTAGCGTCCTCTAGAGAGGGTCTTTGGTGTTGGGTGTCCTGAGTAAGGGACGCTTTAGGAATGCTAGCACTGAGTGGTGTTGCGGAGGGTGAATTTTCAGTAGGCGTAGTCTGGAGACACAGACTGGTTAGGAGCCTCTTGCAGCAGTGGAGCAGAGTAAGGAGGTGGTTGATGCCATAAGGCAGCCGGTACTATAATGTGGCCTTACCTAAAGTCCTTCCACTTCCGTTCATAGGGATTTTCTTTCCATCTTGAACCTCATGCCGAGCTTGCTTGCGGTATTGTCCCCTTCCCTTCC